CTGGCCTAACGGCCAGTGGGCGCGGGAGCGGCAGCAGCCGCGAGAGCAACTGGGACAGCAGAGCTCGGGCAACAAAGGTCACGGGAAGGTACTTGAGGGTGTCTCAGAGACACAGCGAGTTTTAGGATTAAGAAGGTTCTTAGAGAAACTGGACATGTGAGGTCACAGGGGCAGCTGGGTCTCAGAATCAGGGAGGTACACAGAGCAGCTGGAACACTGGAGGTCCCAAGGTAAGTGGAGTCTCAGAGTGGATCTGGTGGGGACAAGGGAGATGGTAAGGGCTCACTGGGGTCTCAGGAACAGGAGGTGGCGAAACCCTTGGGCCACCTCTGTTGGCACTGGTGTGCAGGCCCCGGGATCCAGAGTTGCCAAGTGAGGTTGATTCCAGTGGGTTTGACTGTGAGGGGAGAGGAAGGGGCCAAAGAGTCAAGGAGAGAAGGGAACTGGCTCAGGGCTCACAGGGTTGCCTTACTTGATGGGAAATAATTTGAGCACACATCAGAGGTATAGAGGAGGTTCCTTCAGGACAATGGATACACATTCAGGGGAGGATGGGGCCACCTCAAGAAGGAGAAGCAGCCTTTTTGAAGTTTGGCCCTTCTTTTAGAGGAACCTTGGTGAGGGGTGGGTATGGGCTGGTGGGTGGGGATGAGACCAGTGACCTGAAGAAAGGTTCTGGTGATCCGGCCAATCTTAGGATGCTCAGGCCAATGTGGTCTTCATGATCTGATCAATAGATGGGCCCTGGAAAGTCTCCTAAATTATAGATTTTTCAAAATATTGTATTTATTAGGGGTTAAGAGTGCACAGGTGGATTTACAGCTTTTCCTGGAGTTTGGGAGTGATTGGCCTGGGAGAAAGACAGTATGGGAACTTCTGTATTGATATCTTATTTCCTTGTCCTTCCTTTATGTCTCCTTTATACCTATTTCTTATTCCTTCTATCCTACCTTATCCTGACCCACCAAGAAGGCTCCTTAGCAAAACTCCCACTCCTTGGGAAGACCAGTTCCCCCGCGTTGGAAGTCAGGAGGCACTGTGAGCTCCCAAGGACCCAGGGAGATGTGACTTCGGGTACACTTTCCCCTGCTTCTCCTAGTTTCCATGTGCACACACCAAGGAGAGATTGTGTGAAGACGGGAAGGATGCCATCCGCACACTAGGAAGGGGGGTCACCAAGAATTTAATCATACCATCACCCCGATCTTGAATTTCTCTCCAGAAAATGAGAAATAAGCATTTAGGCCACCCAGCGAGTGGTATTCTGTTATGACAGCCCAAGATTAGGGGAAATGTCAAGGCTCAGGGTCTCCGGTTGGGGTTATCAGAGACCATGTCGGGAAGAGGTCCCAGTGGAGAAGACCACAGGCCATGGAGTCCTTCAGAATTTACAGGTCAAGCCAAAGCATAGCTGGAGAGGAGCGGGCCTGGATAGGGGCTTGGGGTGCACAGGAATGAGGGGAGAGGGCTTCCAGGCAGGGAGCAGCTGGCTATGCCAGATGTGCTGAGTCACCGGAGAGGACGTGGGTGAGGCTGCTGTTGGACTTGGGAACAGTCTGTGGTGCCCCGGACAAGAGCTGTGTCTGTGGTGCTTGGTGGTGGGGGGACAAAAGTTTGAGTGAGGTGGGCTGAAGTGGAGGAACAAGGAAGTGGAGGCAACCACATACAACTCTTTGGGTTAGTGCAGAGACCTTGTGGAGCCAAGGTGTGTGGGGCAGTACCTGGTGGGAGTAGGAGAGGTGAAGGACTTTTTTTTTTGTAATGGGGATGGAACTCAGGATGCACTGTACCACTGGGCTATAATCTCAGCCCTTTTTATTTTGAGTCAGGATCTCACAAAGTTACCTAGGGCCTCCCTAAGTTCTGAGGCTATCTTTGAATTTGTGACCCTCCTGCGTCAGCCTCCAGAAGCATTGGGATTACAGGTGTGGCCAACACACCCAACACAAAGGTCATTTTAACTGTTTATAAACTACTATGTACAAAAAGATAAACTAAATACCACCCAAGTGCCCATATCCCAGCCAAAGAAACAATGCCAATGCAGCTAAAAACCTCTTGAAGAATTATTTCATCTGCAAGAAAATCCCACTCCCACTAGGTAATGATCAATCCAGGCCTAGTACTTCTCACTCACCCGTTTCCTTATTGTTTTATTACACAGGGACAGATCACTTAACAATCTGTCAATTGCAGGCTACTAATGTAATCCTGTAATGCCACCCTACTGTACATGTTCTTCTATAAACTGTATTTGTGAGAATCATTCATGTTGATTCAGGTAGCTTTAGTTATTCATTTTCACAGACTTGTAGTTTTCTACTGATGGTAGTCAAAATTGGTTTCTATGTTCTTTTCTATGACCAGTGATATAGCTATCCAACCCCAAACATGTTCCCTCTCAAATGTAACTAGCATGTTGGCTAAGCAGAACTCCAATTTTAAGAAAAAGAATTTATATCTCCTCTCCCTACCCCCAGCTCATTCAGTCTCACTGTAGGAGGCCAGTTCTTTCCCACCCCTTGGATAAAAGTGTTCTGTTCACCATTAGCTTAAATGAAAAGTTACTTTTCTATAATTAACCTATCCAGGCCCATGTAATAGACCTGACTTCATTCTACATTGACTTCTCCCAGTCCAAGCTCTGGTCTTTGTCTTCTCCCCAGGTCATCTCTCACCCCTAAGTAGAACTGAAAGGGGAAGAGAGAGAGAGAGAGAGAGAGAGAGAGAGAGAGAGAGAGAGAGAGAGAGAGAGAGAGAGAGAAGGAGAAGAAAAAGGGCCTAGTTGGTGGTACCTGTGTGGCTGATGGCATCGAAGTTGACTTTTCCTTGGAGGATGCAGTGAGCTCTTGTGAAGGTCTCTTACCAATGGTCCCTCCATTAGGCAGGGCCTCTCCTATTATCCTTTGGTCCTGGGTGTGCAGATTTTGGGGTCACCCTGTACAAGCCTACCACCCTCCAGATGACCTCTTGGGTCAAGACCTGCTTTCCCTGTAGAGCCATGCTAAGGCCCAAGGAAATACCAGCACCCTTTGCTCTGCCAGAATTTCCTGGGATTGTAGCCTCCTCCCCACTCCAGTCCCACAGCCCCTGCTTCTGCTTGTCCCTCAAAGCCACTGTTACCAGTGGACACCAGCTTCTGGGCCCCGGGCTCTCCAGGGAGGAAGCTTGAGGGGTCTCAGGAAGGTCCTACCACTGGGCAGGGATGAGGGGAAGGAGAGGGAAAATGTATATGTTACCTGGCAACTTCAGTGGTCTCCAAAGATACCCTCCCCGCTGCCTCTTCAGCCTCTGCCCTTGGCACCCTGGACATGGTACCTGCAAGGGTGATCCAGCTCATCTCTGGCCACCCAGAGTTTTGCTTTTGGCCTTTTGGGGGGCCCCTGGTCATTCAGAGTGGAATAAATTGAAGATCTGGGGGTCTGAGCACCTTCATTTGTACCAGCCAAATGCAGCATACTCTTCTCCAAAGTGATAAATGATTTACAGTGAGCTGGGAGGAGGGAATGGTGAGGAGCCCATCAACTCAAGTGCAAAATTTAAGGGGCAAGGAGAACCAAAACATAATTAAGATAATATTTCATTGAAGAAATTTCCCCATAAAATTAACCATTCCAAAGTGTAGAATTCAGTGATATTAAGTATATTTGCAGTGTTTTCAACCATCATCTCTATCTAGTTCCAAAACATTTTCATCACCCCTAAAGAAAACTCCATGACCATTAGCAGACCACCTCCCCAAGGCCCTGGCCACCAACAATCTACATCTGTCTCTGAGGATTGCCTGTTGATGAAGTCCAATTTATTTTGTTCTAGGTGGTGGTTCTTTTGGTGTTATAGGTAAGAATCCATTGCCAAATCCAAGGTCATGAAGATCTTGCCTATGTTTTCTAATAATCTCATCGTTTCAGTTCTTACATTAACAGTAATTAATACAAATTTTCTGAAAATCAAAAGTAATGCAAAAAGCCATGATAAACAAAAATCAACATTTTAAATACAGACAAGATCTTGCATCACTCACCTAACTCCTGCAGCCTGGAGGAAGGTGGGGAGGGGTTAGATTAAAGCGCAGGAGATGGGGCTGGGTTGTGGCTCAGAGGTAGAGTGCTCGCCTAGCATGCACAAGGCACTGGGTTCCATCCTCATCACCACATAAATGTAAAATAAAGATATTGTGTCCACCAAAAACTTAAAAAAAAAAAAAAAAAAAAAAAAAGCCCAGGAGAGAGCCGCCTGCTTGGGAGCAGATTGATAGCAGAGCCCTGCCTGTCTTCGGTGTGGAGCCAGGGCAGGCAGGCGACTGCAGTAGTCACTCCCCGAGATGCTAACCAAAAGTGACTTCGTGAATATGTGGCTGTACCCACTCGTGGCATTCTTAGGGGGACTATTTATTTAATTGATTTTATTTTTTAAAAATAGACAACAGTGGAATGCATTACAACTCTTATTACACATATAGAGCACATTTTTCATATCTCTGTATATAAAGTAGGTTGACACCCAATTTATGTCTTCTTACATGTACTTTGGATAATTAAGTCCATCACATTCCACCATCCTTGCTAATCCCCTGCCTCCTCCCTTTCCCTCCCACTCCTAAGGGGGACTATTTAGAACTTGGAAGTGACCGTTGTCCCAGGCTCTCCTTCCTCTCAAGGGACTCTGGCTGCAGTCGCTTCCCCAAGAGGGTCCCCAGCAGACAGGAGGCTCTGGTGGGGGGAGCGGGTTGGGAGGCCAGCCGGCTCAGGACCCCGGTGCGCGCTTCTTTGGGATGGTGCTCTGGCCTTCCCGCCCCAGGCTCCTATCTGATGGCTAAGGCCAGCGCAGACACCGAGGTTAACGCCAAAGCAGGTTCCCCTCGTGCCCAGCAGCAGGGACGAGCCCTGGAGCACAGCCCCAGAGAGGCCCGCTTCAGCGCTCAGGAGTCCGGCTGGCCCCCGAGGGCGGGCCGGGCCGGGCCGGGCCGGGCCGGGCCGGGGCGGGGCTGACCGACCAATGAACGGGCGGAAGAGCTCGGCCCCGCCCGGCCGCGCTCAGCCCGGAGCAGTCCCGGGAGGCGGCGGCGCGCGCAGCCCGGATCCCAGACCCAGACTCGCGTTCCACCGACTATGGCCGCGTTGGCGCAGCTGCGCGACTGTCAGGTACGCTGGGCCCCCCTCGGCCCACGGGGTGGCCCATCGCCGAGCTGGGCGGGACCGGCCTGCAGACGACCTGGGTCGGGCGAGGGGGCGCTGCCGAGGAGGACTGGCCGTGAACCTGGCGCAGGAGTCGGTCGTGGGCGCCCGGGCGCCTCGGTGTCCGCGCACGGAGAGGCTACACCATCCTCCTGTGGCGTCCCCACCTAGGAAAGCCCCTCGGAGTCGGGGAGACCCCAGGAACCTCCTAAAAAGTTTGCTCAGCCGACGTGACTGGTACAACAGGGACACCAATGGAAGGGGGCTTCTTCAAATCGCCCAGGGGGACGGCCCTCTGCTGGCCAGGGTTATTTCCTCTATTCGGGGAAATCAAGGGGTCTTTGGCCTCTGGCCTGACACCAAGGGTGGCTGTGACAGTGAACAAGTCTGACCATCTTGAGATGTTTTCTCTGGGGGACTTGAGGGTCTGAGTCCTCCCATAGAGTGGAAGGTGGGAGGTGGTGTTTGGTGGTTGACACTGTTAGGTAGATGGTCACAAAGGGGTGTGACGGGAAAGGACCTTGAAGGGCTGCTGAAAGCCATAGGGAGCCTTGCCCGACAGCACCGGGAAGGTTGGGGCTTGGTATGTTAAGACATCCTCCAGAAAGATCATGTCACACCCTACGAGGTGGCCTGGACCCTCCCTGACCACCAGGACTGGCACAACCCCCCTTCACCCTGGCAACCGAAACATTAAGACCCTCACAAGGACAGCTTGCTGAGGGCTAGTCAAATGGATGAAGGGGATAGGAAATTGAGGCTGAAACAGGGGGACTCCACTTCCTAAAAATCTCCAGCAGAGACTTACACCACCCTCTCTTTCTGTGGTCCACGCAGTTCTTTTGCTGTCGTTAAAAATCAAGACTAGAACTGAGCAAGCCTCTTTGGAAACTGCCCTGGGACTCCCCGCCCCCCCATAAAACTGGAGGACAGGAGGGATGCACTGTCCCTCTCCTCTCAGAGAATCCACACTTTCCCTTTAGAGTGTCTCCTTTGCTCTTTTCTAATCCCTCCTAATAAACTCATGCCTGTTACTCTGAACAACATGTCTGGAATCTTTCTAGTGGATTTTTGTTTGTTAGTACTGGGGTTTGAACCCAGGGGCATTTAACAACTGAGCCACATCCCCATCCCTTTTTATTTTTTATTTTGAGACAGGTTCCCACTAAGTTGCTTAGGGCCTTCCTAAGTTGCTCAGGCTGGCCTCAAACTTGTGATCCTCCTGCCTCAGCCTCCTGAGTTGTAGGGATTATGGGCGTGCACTACCACACCCAGCTAAGAACTAGAGTTTGAAGAGCAGGGTCTCCACAGCTGCCATCATTTTATAGCAGGTCTGTGCCCTGTGACAGCAGGTGCTATACACTTTGCCAACCAGGTGGAAAGCCCACCCTCCTCCAGGTTGCTCTTATGTGCTGGACTCCTCACCTGTAAGGTTGGACCTCCCCTCCTGTGCTGAGTGTGTGCCTCCTCCAGACACTTCAGGTCACCCCCCTGGATCCTCCTGTTCCCGTTTTACAGAGTCTGAGAGGGAGGGTCCTGCTGAGGACAGACAGCTTTCAGGGATTGGATGGGACTCTGTCCCAGACAGGCTTACCTCTCGCTGTGCTCTGCACCGCATGAAGTCTCAAAGCCCACGAGAGCTGAGAGCTGGGCAAGGCCACATCTTACAGAAGCCTGAGTGCTGGGCATGGGCAGATGTGCAGTGTGGGGGGTGGGGCTCAAGTTCAAGGCACTTCATGGAACCTGGCCCTGGTGTTCCTTCTTCCTGTGTGTAGGCATGGAGGGATGCTGGGCTCCCACTCTCCACGCCAAGCAATGAAGCCTGCAAGCTGTTTGACGCCACCCTGACCCAGGTATGCCTGCAGAGCAGCCCGGGCCCCTCCTGCGTGGCTCTGTGGAGAGCGTTCTGCACCTAATTGAAAGCTTTTTAAGGGGAAATCCGGCCCTTTGGGAAGTGTCTCTGTTGGTCTCTGTGGGAAGTGTCTCTGTTGGCCACAGTGTGGCTGAGAAGCCCTCTGTACTCACTCTCTCCTGAAGTCCCCCGGGGCAAGCAGACAACAGTGGACTCAGCTGAGCCCCCACCTGTGGACTGCTGAGGCTCTGATGTGGGCTCTGACCTGTAGGGAATGGGGACCTGCGCTGGGCTCATCTGTGAATTTGCCTGCGTGTGGCTAGGCCAGGACCTGACACTGCAGATTTCTCCACCGGCGAGGGAGCCTGTGGTTTTGGACCGAGGAGTAAAGTCCAGCCAGTTGGACAGGTTGGGAAACAGAGGCCCCAAGGGTTGAGCTGACTAGAGTAGAAGGTGGTCCGGGGAGTTCAAGGCAAAGCCAGGATGCACCTTGGCCCAGGTTTGCTGAGGGAAGCCCACTGGACCGACTCAGTCCACACCACGGGAGGACCAGGGAGCTCTCAGAAGCATCTGAACTGCACAAGTTCACTGCTGAAGTGCCCTTGCCACCTGTCCTTGCCAAGTGACTCTGTGGTGTGCTTTGGAGCTGTCTGCTTTGTGCTTATCAGGGATCCTCTTGTCCCTGCTGGGCCTCCTTGGCCCCTGGGGAGTACTTGAGCCCTTCCACTGCACATTCCTCATTAGGCAGTAGCTCACCCTCTTGCCTGTGCACATTCCGCCCTGTCTACCGGTGTCTCTGTGCCTTCCTGCGTCAGCAAGGGTGCATGAAGCCCTGTGCCAGCTACTCTGTGCCTTGTGAAAAAGCAAAAGGACAGATTTTAAAATCCAATGCATTATTAATGACTTTTTTAAGATTTAAAAAAAATAAGTATCTGTCTTAATCCATTTTCTGTTGTTGGAGCAGAATGCCTGAGACTGGATAATTCCCAAAGAAAAGAGGTTTATTTAGATGGCAATTCTAGAAGTTCAAGAGCATGGTACCAGCATCTACTCAGCTTCTGGTGAGGGCCTCATGGCAGGAAGTAGAATGGGATAGGGACCAAGGAGTGGCCTGCTTTATAACCTGCTCAGAAAGAACTAATGTGGCCTCAAGAGAAGGACTTCACTTCCTCTTAACGACCTGGTCACCTCAAAATGTCTCCGCCTCCAACACTGCTGTATCCCCGCCCTATTTTAGTTATTTTTAAGAGGAGTGAATGAGAAGCAGGAGTTGCAGGCAGAGAAGCTGATGTGTGGCAGGCCACCTGTCAGGAGGACCAGCCTTGGGTTTGGGAAATGGCATCACCAGGCCAAAGAGCATCTTGAGTCATCTGCGCTTCATCTCGTCCTGGGAAACCACAATTCATGCTTTCTAAGAGTTCAGACGTTATGCTAGAGTTCCAGACATACCCACTGTCCTGGAGAGAAAAGGAATCTGGCGCTGGGGTGTGGCTCCGCAGTAGAGCATGTGCTTAGCCTGCGTGAGACCGCAGCTCTGGAAAAAAATCCAGGTTTAGACTCTGCCTTCATTAATAAGACTCAAGAGTCCCCCGAGGACAACTTTGTTTTACCTTTTTAATTCTAGTATGTAAAATGGACCAACGACAAGAATCTTGGTGGCATTGAGGGCTGTCTGTCAAAGCTCAGAGCAGCAGACCCGACCTTTGGTGAGTGGTGATCTCCCCAGTGAGGAGCCGGTGTGGGCTCGGCTGGTGAGGAGGGCTGCTGGGGGCAGCCACGGGAGGGAGGGCGGGCGGGCCACGGCTGCAGTCACGTCTGCTTCTGTAGAAGGCTCTTTCCAGATTTTTTTTCTGATTACCATCAATTCTTCACGAAGACACTGATCCACCTTCTGTGATGAGGAAACTGAGTTTCAGTGAGAATAAGACACATTCCCAAAGTTGTCTGAATCCAAAGCTCTGAACTCAGGAGGTGGTGACTACAGACTTTGTCAGAGCCACCAGGGTGGGGACAGGGCCGAATACGGCAGAACAGGCTGGCACACAGGCAAGCCATTTGGGTGGTGGGCAGGGGGTCAGCACAGTGCATCCCAGACCCTAGGTGGGCCTCCCAGTGTGGGTTGAGGCTCTGGGCCTGGGAGGAGAGGCGAGGACTGGCAGCAGGGACCCTTCCTCACCTGCTGTATCCTGGTCCAGCTAAGGGCAGAGGCCTCGTGCTGCCCTGGCAAAGGCAGGCGGGGATGGAACTGGGTTGAGAGCCACAGCCCAGTCGGTGGCGCCTGGCATTTTGCCAGAGGGAGTGGTTGAGAGGTGAAGCCAGCGAGCCATTGGGACAATTAAGTTAAGCTGTATAATTCCTGTGACTAGATGATGCTGGATTGGGGCAGGCTGTGTGTTCAGTTGTATATGGACCCCTGCTGTCCAGCAATAGGGTGGTGCCTGCTACTTTTGAGGAGTTCCCTTTGAGTTCTCTGGGAGCCTGGTTGAGGGCGGAGAGAGTTCCTGGGGAGAGCGCATGGAGTGCCCGTGAGAGTTCGGGCAATAAAGTAGTTCCTGTTTGAACCTACACTTGTGCCCAGCCAAACTGCGGCAGAACTGGGGAGGAAAGGGGAAGCTGGCCCCAACTTGCAGGGGCAGCCAGTGGTCAGGGTGGGCTCAGGTTCTTTGAGAAGACCTCAAGCCCAGGTCAGAAACAGGGGCCGCATGGACGGGCCTAGCACTGTGGTAGTTTCTAGGTCCCAGGCCAGTGGACAGCCTGCCTCTCAAGGTGGGAGCTGGGAAGCCAAGGAAGGGTTTGGCAAGCTGCTGCCCCAAGGCACCGTGACCCCCACTGTCAGCAAGTGAGAGCTGTGGGGCAGGGGTGTGCACCTCTGCTCTGGGACCTCGTGGGACCAACCTGAATGGTGTCCACTGAGCATCTCCAGGGGACAGAGTGCTGGTGGTAGTGACAGTACCAGCCCATGAACCCACAGACAGACCCCTCCCCCGCTCCTCAGGTGAAAGGGCAGGTGCTGGGGACATGGGCACTTGCCAGAGTACCCTGTTAAGAAACTATGTGTGGCTGCTTCCAGGGCTGCCCTGCTCGACCGTGCACTGAGGGCCAGGACTGAGTTCTGGTCTTTGGCACACGCCATCGAGCATGCGTCGTCTGGCTCACACTTCTGGGACGTGAGCTGGCCATTTCCCGCATGGGGCCAGGGCTGGTCAGGGCCCAGCTGGGTCGTCTCAATCCAGAGCTGTTTTCCAATCCTCCGCAGTCATGGGCCAGGTTATCTCTAACGGCCTCGTGCTCATCGGCACGGGAAGCTCCGTGAGGCTAGACAGAGAGCTGGACCTGGCCGTGAAGAGGATGGTGGAGACTGCGCTCACCCAGCTGCTGACGCCGCGGGAGCAGCTGCACGTGTCTGCCGTGGAGGCATTTGCCAAGGGGTGAGGGGTCCCCTGGGCCAGGGCCTGGCGCTGCGAGGCCATGCGGGGTGGTGTGCAGGCCGTCCCAGTGCCCTTGGGAAGGGGCAGCCTCAGAGGAATCCCCACCTGGGGGGCCGCTGGCTGCTGTATGCCAGGCAAGGAGGTAGTCGTGTGGGACCCCAACCAGTGTTCAGGGCGACTCGATGCCTGCCTAACTGGCTTATTATTTTAACTAAAAAATGGATGGGAAGGCATTACAGACATATCCAGAAGAGAGAAGAGGACATATTCACCCACTTACTGCTTACCACCCGGACTGTCCATTTGCTCTCAGTCCCTGACAAAGCTACTGAGATGATCAATTTACAAGGGGACCCCGGGACTCCCATAGGCGAGACAAGTCCTCCACCACTGAGTTACACTCCCAGCCCCTACTATGATTTTTAAAAACCAATTCAGTGAGCCAATCACAGTGTCATACTCTGTTATCCCAGTGACCCAGGAGGCTGAGGCAGGAGGATCGCAAGTTCAAAGCCAGCCTCAGCAACTTAGTGAAGCTCTAAGTAACTTAGTAAGACCTTGTTTCAAAATAAAAAATAAAAAGGGCTGGGGATATGACTTAGTTGTAGTAAAGCACCTCTAGGTTCAATCCCAAGTACAACAAACAAACAAGCAAAAAACAATTCAGGGCAGACTCCGACACCAGGTATCTTATGTTTTCCAAGTACATGGGCTTTGTGTTCAGCGGAGCTGAGAAATCTCTCTTGGCTTCTAGGAACTTCCCCAAAGCCTGTGATCTATGGGAACAGATTCTCCGAGACCACCCAACAGACATGTTGGCCCTGAAATTTTCCCATGATGCCTATTTTTACCTGGGCTATCAGGAACAGATGCGAGATTCTGTTGCTCGAGTTTACCCCTTTTGGACACCTGACATCCCACTTAGCAGGTATGGTGGAAATCACATCATTTTTATATCTTAATTGCTTTCTTCATCCCTAAAAATATAACCACCCTTATGGACCTGCCCTAAAACTAATGAGACCGCTGTTGCTATTCTAGTTCTTCAAAGTTAAAAGGTTTCCTCTTCTTCATGTGATCTTGCATCCTGAGAAAATGGTAGTACTATTATGTACTGGTCAGGATGGGATTGTTTGCTGCTATAACAAGTATTCCCTAGGGCTGGAGTTGTAGCTCAGTGATAGAGTGCTTGCCTCCCATGTGTGAGCCACTGGGTTCGATCCTCAGCACCACATAAAAACAAATAAATAAAAATAACGATATTGTGTCCAACTACATCTGAAAAAAAATTAAAACAAAACAAGCATTCCCTAGATCTTATTCTCCAAACTTTATTATAGCAAATTTCTCACGTATACTCCATGTCCATCTAAAGAAGGCCAAGGGTTCTGTGACAGTGTCCATGTCTCCTGCTAGGGTCCCAGCTAGTGACATAGCTGCCCTCTGGACACAGTTGCTACCAGAGAAAAAAAGAACTCTTCTTAAGGGTTCATGTGCCTCTGCCACATCATGTACCAGAACTGAACACATGACCTGATCCCCTTAGGGCAGAGCAGAAAGTACAGTTGTCCCATGCTTGGGAAGAGAGGAAGGCCAGGTGTGTCTGACAACAGCCTGTTGACCACCTCCCATGATAGGCTTCATTGCAATTTAGTCCTGGGATTGTTGTGAGCATCAAACAAGTTAATAGAATAAAGAGCTGTATTGGTCATGGCTGTCTGAAAAACCCCCACAAAAGCCAAAAACAGTAGGAACTTGAGCTTGTCTCAGTCCGTATCTCTCTCTTGATCATTTTTGCTTCAATAACAAGCATCCCTTAGATTTTGTTCTCCAAAAAGAAGGAGAAAGCGAGAAAGAATTGTTTTAAATTGGCTCATGTGATTGTCAGGTCTGGCAAGTTTGAAATCTGTAGGGCAAGGCAGCAGGCTAGAAGTTCCTGCAGGGGCTAGCATTATAGTCGAGTATCTGAAGGCAGTCTGGAGGCGGAGCTCCTTCTTTTGGGGACCTTAGTCTTTACTCCTAATACCTTCAACTGGTTGGATGAGGCCTACCCCCATTATGGAAGGTAATCTGTTTGATTCAAATTTTACTGATTTAAGTGTTAAAAATCACATCTAAAAAGAAAAATATCCACAGCATCAGCTACACTGGTTTTCATCTAACAACTGGGTACTGTGGCCTGATAATACCTGAAGTGCAGTGAGCACTTGGTAATTTTTTTGTTTTGTCTTTAAAGCTACACCCGGAGCCACTGCTTTAGAACTTTGCTTTGGTGAATAACGAAGGTTAGAATCGTCTCTGTCCACGGTGGTAAAGAGCAGTGAAGACAACACCTGGGCCTCAAGCAGAACCAGCATCCCTCTCTCTTGTTCTCACTTAACCCCCAAAACACACAAGGGAGAACGCCTCTCGTGTACGGCCACCCTGGGGCTCTGGTGCCATGGCGTGGATGAGAACTGCGGGTGTGTGTCTGTTCAGCAGCGTCTTGAGTCCAGCCTGGGCAGGGCCAGGGCTGACAGTGCATTAGACAAACAGGTCCTGGCGCTCTGGGCCTGGGAGTGGCCAGGCTGTCCAGTCAGGCAGTGGGCCTGTGCACAGGGCTGCAGGAGCAAAGGAGGAGCCACCGACAGCCCACGGGCCACAGAGACTTCCTGGGAAGGTGCCTGGAGCCGTGGCCCTGGGTGGGTTTCAGCAGGGCCAGGAGGACCAGTGGTCCTCATTGGAGACTGCTGATGTCTGAGGAGGTGGACACTGAGGGAGGAGGGCCACTGCTACGTGGATGGCGCTGGGCTTGGGGAAAGTATGTGGATGATGAAGACCCCTTTGCTCCTCACCAACCAGAAGCCTCAGATGGTTGAGCAGCTCAGGGCTTGGCACAGGCTGGAGCAGGCCAGTCTCTCTGGGCTGCCGTAGCCGAGTTCCACCAGCCGCATGGCTGAAAGCAGCACAGATGCACTCACTTTCGGTCCAGAGGCCAGAGGTCTGAAGCAGGGTTTGGGCCAGACCTGTTTTCTCCGAAGGGTCTAGGCGGTCCCTCCTGCCCGCCACCAGCTTCTGGTGGTGGCCAGACTCTCTGGTGTCCCTTTAATTTCTGCCTCTGTCTTCACGGGCCCTCTGCCGTGCCTCTCTCTGACTTCCCGTGGCCGCCTGTAGGGACCACAGCCTTTGGCTTACGCCCACCTCAGCTTGACTTGATTATATCTGCAAAACCCTGTTTCCAAGTGCAGTTGCATTCACAGGTCCTGAGAGTGACGATGTTACCACGCCTTGAGGGATACAGTTGTACCTACTACAGGTCCATCTTTTTATATTGTGACATTTTCTCTGTTCCCAGCTATGTGAAAGGCATCTATTCGTTTGGATTAATGGAAACCAACTTCTATGATCGGGCAGAAAAACTTGCCAAAGAGGTAAGTGAGCTTTTACCAGCAGGCATGACCCTTCAGAGAGGGGCCATCAGGTAGGGCAGAGCTTTTGAGGGCCACCCCTCATTTGTGACCCACTCTGAGCATCCTCAGAGATTTGGAAGAGGCTCACCTTGGTGCAGTCATCTGCCAAGGCAAGGCTTCCTCCTGTCTGTCACTCATCTGTGCCTTTTGAGGTGTCCAGAGCCACATCCATGTCTACAGATTAGGACAGGGAGGCTGGGGCCCCTCACTCACGTGGGATTGCACAGTATGGTGGCTCTGGGCTCCCATCAGCCCTGTTCGTCTCCAGAGCCATAAGTGCCTGGCTGAGACCGGATCTCACAGGTGACGAGGCAGAAGCAAACTTGTTCTTCTTGCTTGAACTGACCTTGCTAAGCATGGCTAATGGCACCAAGGCTCTGGGAGTCAGTAGTGATAAATAAAGGCTGCCACAGGCTCTTCGTCCTCCTCAAGTGGTGAGGTCTTCTTGCCTACAAGTCCTCCTGTTGGCCAGGCCTATTGCTCAGTGTACATACCTGTGGGAAGGGCCAGTGCGGAGCCTGCTAGGTGATGTCTGCCTTCCCAGGCCCCAACTCCATGCCACCTGGTGCCTGCTGCCTGGCACAGAGCTTGGTGGATGCCCCACCAGCCCAGATCTCAGGCCAGGCAGCAGGCCTACATGTATGGCAACTCAGACTCAGGGGGAGTCCCTCTCTGACACTTCTGTCCCTGCAGAGTGGAAACTGAGGCTCAGGGAGGGACTGTCCTGCACAAAGGGTGACAGCTGCTCCTGATCCAGCAGTGGACTGGCACGTCATGTACGCCAGCTTTTGTCCACACTCTGTACCTGTGATCCTAAACTCCTTGTTGCCCAGACAAGGCAGGCAGAGGCTCGGAGAGGCCAGGGCCAGAGCCTGCCCTGGGCCACACTGCTCAGTGCTGGAGGTGGTCAGATTCTCACAAGGGCCACCAAACTGGAAGGCTTCAAGCTGCCTGGTCTAGACCCCCGCTTCCCAGCATCCTAGCTAGGAGGCTTCCCCCAGGTGTGGCCCTGAAGTACCCTTCCCCACGAGACCACCACCAGGCGTGTCTGAAGACTGCCTGGTTACAGAATTGGAGCCCAGGTTTGAGGCTCAGGGTGGAGGTTCTTTGCCTTAGCTCTGAGTCAGACCTGGGAGGACTGGGTAGCTTCTTGGCCATCCTGGCTCCCTGGTGACCAGGCACCATTGTCCAGGGGCCAGTCACAGGAAGATCTCTTAGGAGCCATCATAGATGGCTCTCTGGTTGGATGACGTTCAGTGGGCACCTGAGGGACAGCAGGAGAGTTGAGAAAGGTCAGGGGCAGGGAGGCTGTGGGAACTAACATGGCAGATTCACCCAGGGGATGGCAAAAGGTGGAGGCTTGGGTGGCCTCACAGGGGCAAGAGGCAGTGAGGTAGGCCCTGCTCCCTCGCGCCCCTGGCTCTCGTTATTCCCAGGCCGCACACTCTGACCCTTGCCCTGCCCCCCATAGACAATCACTGAGCATGAAGGCCAGCTACATGTGTCCACCAGGCTCCTAGGACAGCGAGGATGGTGGCAGCAGCTCCACTGCCCTGCACAGGCCTCCTAGGGCGGCAGCAGGCCCCTAGGCCCGCCCCAGGCTAGTGAGGGGCCAGAGGGGCAGTGGCTGGCTGGCCAGGGGAGCCTGAGAAGGAAGCCTGCACTCTCCCAGGGTCCTTCAGAGGGCTCCATGCAAGGGAAGAGGCTGTGGCCCCCGCCAGGGCCAGCGAGAGCCAGCGGGGGCAGGGCTCTGCCCTGAGCCACAGCCCCTTTCCTCTGCCCTGCGTGAGCACAGCAATGTCCCCAGGTGTCTGGCGCCTGGGCCTCCCTGGACCTGGGACCCACTCTCTTCCTCCCGCAGGCCCATGTGTAGTGGGCAGAGCCTGTGAGAGCCAAGGCTGGAACAGGAAGGAGGGCTTGCCGGGGACCACCTGTTGCTAAAACCCTGCGTGGGTGCCTGGCTGGGACAGAGGTGCTCGACCCTTCCGCACCACTGTGGAAGGTGTGGGAAGGTGGAGGCAGTGGGGCTGCAGGACTCGCGGCTTGGCATGGGCCTCACCAGGGGACTCAGAAGCCACCCGTGTGGTCATCACATGAATGTCAGTGGGAGGGGGCAGCCACAAGCCACTGCAGCTGGTGACAGGAAGGTGGCATCATTGACCCCTCCACCAGGGGGAACCAGGCCCAGAGCCACCAGACGGCTCATCAGTACAAAGGAGGCTGTGAGGTCAGCGGCCGAGCTCTAGATTTCGGAAACCTGGGCAAGTCGCTCAGCCCCCATGAGCTTCAGTGTCCTCCTGTGTGGAACGGGCGGGGATTCCCCCTCAGCACATGCCGGGGTTGGCACCACCAGCTGGGTGTGCCCCAGGCTCAGAGGCCATGGAGCTGGTTGTTGGTTGTGGCTATGGTCAGACCCTGTGCCCCTTAGAAAGGAGCTGCCCCGGCCCAGGCCACCTGACTGACCCATGCTCTTCCACCCACCCTCCCTAGGCATTATCTGTGGAGCCCACGGATGCGTGGTCGGTGCACACCATTGCCCACATCCATGAGATGAGAGCTGAGGTGCAGGCCGGGATGGACTTCATGCAGCACTCGGAAGCCCATTGGAAGGTGTGCTTCTGTGGTCACCTCATCTGCCCCGAGGCTTTCTGCCTGGGAGTCCCAGGTGGCTTAGTTCTCCAGAGTGTGATCAGCTCCAGGTACCTGGGCCAGGCAGCAGGGTTCCCTGGGAGCCACAGCTGCCAACGTTGCAGGTTACTCTAGTATTGCTCTTGGCCTGAGGCATTTGGTTGCAAAAGAACTGGATCAAACGGTCACTAGGGAGATTAAAGCCTGGTGTGGGTGGGACCCTGAGTTGGCTGGCATTGGCCAGGGGTTCCTCCTGAAATTGCTGAGTAGCCTCGGGAAGTATTTGATGCAGCTGGGAAGGATGCCAGGAGCCTGTGGGGGCGAGGGCCGTGGTGTCTGCAGGACTGGCATATGGGGGGCAGGTATTGGGGCCTCTAGAGTCGTGGCCCCTGCCAGGCCCTTTCCAGTGGCCCAACCACTCCGGCCTCACTGTGCCCACTCCCGGCTCCTGACTTCACTCAGCCCCACTGTTGACTGGCTGCCTCCTTGGGATCTTTTCCTCCCTCCCTGCAAGCCAAGGTGGCCCTTCCTCCTCTCCGTGTGCCTCTTGCCCCAGGCGTGCTCTGGCACCTGGCCTGGCCACCTGACCAGGTGTCCTTGCTGTCCTGTCCTTCTGTGTACCATGGTGGGCTCCCCAGGGCACCGTCTACTGGGGCAGCAAGTGTTCCCCCGAGCCTGGTACCAGGTGGCCGGTGCTCAGTGATGTGAGAAAAAGGACCCAATGTCCCTCCAAGCAGCCTCCTGGCCCATGACATTCCCAGTGGGGTGTGGCTTACAAGAAGGTCCCGGCATCTCCGGAGTGTTCCTGGGCACAGCATGCTAAGAGGTAGCAATATTTGAGATCCCTGATCTGTGAGGCCCATGTGCAGATCTTTCTATGGATCCCCAAACTCTGGGCACGGTAAGGCCCTAGGGGCAGTGGAACCAGCCCTGGGGATCTAGGACCCTGCCAGCTCTGGCTCCCCAGGCAGGTACTGTGAGTTCTGGGGTGAGGAACACCAGATTATCCCAGTCCTCCCAGCTGAGGGGCAGGAGGCTGGCCTAGGCAGCACCGGGGGCAGCAGGCCGGGCCTCCTTCCCGTCCTGCTCACAGTCCTCCCCCAGCACTCTGGTTTTACCATGCCTGACAGAGGCCATAGAGGCCCAGCTCTACCCTGGGTCATGACCTTGGTCCCTCTGAGCCCAGTTTCCTCCTCTGTACTATGTGAAGCCTTGGCCCCAGATGAGTCCCCTATCAGTTTGGGTTCCGACACAGCCAATGGTCATCTCAGAATGGGTGATTATCCTTTGGTGTCCTATCTGTCCTGGGGGCTCTAGGCAGCCTCTGGCCTGACTGGATAGCTCTGGGTGTGCGTGGCAGGGCCTGGGGCTCCCTTTCCTTCTTCGGCACCTGCCTTCTGCATCTGCAGACCCAGATCTCAGTGAGACTCCAGTCTCTGCCCCAGGCCTTTGTCCTTCCCTGGGGAGTCCTTGAGGGTCCAGTGCAGACTTCTCTGCCCTCACAGGGCCTGGTGACCTGGAATGAGTAGCTGAGATGAGTGCAGGTGCTACCCCGTGACCGATACTCTTGGGGATGTGGAGCCCAGAGGAGGTGTCAGACCCAGCTGGGTTGGGGGGCAGTGGTCAAGGAAGGCTTCCTAGACGGGCAGCTTCTGAGCTGGGTACTGAGGGGTGACAGGTGTTTGGCAGATGGAGGAGGTGCAAGTGGAGGGTATTCTAGCCCAGCAGCTGCTGGAGCAAAGGCCAAGGCCTATGAGAGCCCGAGAGGGGAGCTGGGCAGTTGGAGGCCACTTAGGTGGACATAGGCTGTGTAGGAGGGCCTCTTCCTGGAGGGGTGAGGTGGGGTCTGGGGAGAGGAGGAGCCACTGCAGGGGCCTCAGAGAAGGAAGGGCAAGCATCACTGTGCGGTGCCTCTGGACAGACAGGGCTGGGAAGGACTGGGGGCAGTGGATGGAGACCTCAGACCATTCACTGGGCTTTAATCGAATACCCATGTTCCCTCGGGGTGAGGAAGACCTTGGGGTCCAGCTCTGTGGAGGGGGAGGAGAGGTTGGGTCCCTCCTCGCAGCCATCTTGTTTTAGGTTTCCAGGGATTGCACACTGACCCTGGCAGGGGTCATGAGCCCAGTCCCTCAAGCCTGGGATGCCCCCAGGGGCCCGGCTCTGAGCAGAGCCTGCCTCCATTGAGAGCCGCGCTCTAGCCAACAGCAGCACCTCTGGAGTGTCAGCCCGCCCTGCGTGGGCTTCCCCAGCCCTGCTGGGGCACACCCACACTTACCCCTCTCGATTGAGCTGGGGATCCTCGCGGTTTGATCCAATGCCATGAGCCCTTGGGGGAGCACGGTGGGATCTCACACTCCTTCCCTGCTCCTCACCTGAGGGGCTGGGCCTGGAGCTGCTGAGGGGCTGGGCCTGGAGCTGCTGAGGGGCTGCCTGCAGGGACCGGGGGACTGCTGCTCCTGGCTGGGGGCTGACAGTGCCTCCACCTGCCCCAGCCCCAGCTTCCCCTCTGTAGCAGCAGGAGTGAAGGTTGCTGCCCCTCAGCCCTGAAGGCCACAAGGTCGTGTGCAGATGCCAGCACAGGGCGGCCTGGGAGCCGGTGCCTGGCAGGGCTGCCGCACTGCCCTCGGAGGTGACGGTTCTGTGCAGCACAGGATGGTACTGGTGTCTCCTGGGGCTGCCAGCTGCTTCTTTGACTCTCTTCTTCTCTCCACAGGACTCGGATATGCTTGCTTGTCATAATTATTGGCACTGGGCTTTATACTTGATTGAAAAGGTAAGATGGCCACCCTGTGGGCGGCCTCCCTGTGAAGACTTGGAGGAAGAAGTGCCGTCTAGGGTTTGTTGTCCGCCTCTGCCACTGAGCCCCGTGCTGTGTTGGCACCTGAGCTGGCCTTGGAGCCAGACAGCTGCGGGTTTTCAAGCTGGAGCTGCTAAAAAGCATTTTTCACTTTTTTTTTTTTTTGGTACCAGGGATTGAACTCAAGGGCACTTGACCACTGAGCCACATCCCCAGCCCTATTTTGTATTTTATTGAGAGACTAGGTCTTACTGGGTTGCTTAGCACCTCACTATTGATGAGGCTGGCTTTGAACTCACCATCCTCCTACCTCAGTCTCCCGAGCCACTGGGATTCAGGTGTGTGCCACCGTGCCCGGCCGTCTTTCACTCTTGATGAGTGGGAGTCATGTGGATTGTGGGTAGTTTGCTGGTCACAGATGGGAACTCCCAGAAGGAGTGGGGGCTTGGGGGTCCCTGGCCCCAGGGGTTCCTTGAGCTTATGGGGGTGCTTCTTTTATGCTGTCATCATAGAGACAGGAGGCTCCCTGGAGGTCCAGGGAGAGAGGTGTGAGCAAGGTAAGGTGAGGTGACTTGGAATGCCGTCACCAAGGCCAGAAGCAAGCAGAGAACCACTTGAATATACAGGAGGGAAAACAGCAAGAAAAGACTAGAAGAAGCTCTGAACAGGAGCCGTGCGCCCCCAGCTGAGCATCTCTTGTGCAGAGTGCTTGACACAGAAGTGTTGCCGATTTAGGATTTTCTCAGGTTCAGGAATATTTGCGCTTACATAATGAGATATCCTGGGGCTGGTACCCACGTCTGAACGTGAAAGTCACTGATGACTCACATGTACGTACACGTGGTCTGGGGGTGACTCGGTGCCGTGCTTGGCATGTGCCTTTGTGTTTGGTTTCCGTCCTGGGATGGAACCTAGGACTTCCTACACACTGGGCAAGTGCTCCATCACTGAGCTGCACCCCTAGTCCTTTTTATTTCTATTTTTAAAATTTGAGATGAGGTCTTACCCAGATGGGCCTCACACTTGCCATCCTCCTGCCTCAGCCCCGGAGTGGCTGGGATCATGGGTGTGTGCCACGCGCAGCTTGGGCCTGTGTTCTCACTGCACCCGTCACATGAGGTCTGGTGTGGGATTTTCCACTTGGGGTGTCATGTCAGTGCTCAAAGGTTCTGGATTTCAGGTTTGGGGTTTTCGGTGTAGGGCTGCTCAGCCTGAGTGAACTTTCCTGGTAGGAAAAAGGATGCTTCCACAGAAACTGCTCCCTCCACAGCAGTTTCAGGTCCTGTCATTATCTCAATTCTTGGAGCCAAGAACCAGGTGGGGGCAGCAGGTCTGAGCCCTCCCATCCCCCTTCATAAGGTGGAGGTCCCGTGGGGGCCTTTGGCTGGCTGTGTTCAGTGCCTTTCTCGGCTTTACAGTTTGCCCCTCCAGCTGCTAATCATGGTGACTTTACGTCCTCAGGGTGAATACGAGGCTGCACTGACCATTTACGACCAGCATGTAAGTGCTCCGGGTTCTGTCCACATAGCACTTGCCTTCTCATCTCTGATAGACCTCTGTGTCACCAGCACTGTCCCAGCCAAAGAGCAGTAGGAGCAGGGACCCATCCTTGTGTGTGATCTTAGAGGGTTGAGTGTGGCCAAGAGCCGTGTTATAGCTCAGTGTGCAATGGGCGTCCCATTGACGCTGTCCAAGTGTACAGATGCTCATGTCCAAGGTGATCATCTCTGTAATCGCTAATTCCTAGGTTGCTCTTCTTTGGTAAGATAATTGATCTGCCCCTGGAAATTTTTTAATGCAAAATGTAAAATTAAGTGCATGGTTCAGTGGCTTGAGCACGTGGGCCACACTGAGCATCTGTCGCCACCTCCATCTCCAGAACTTACCGTCTTCCTATGCTAAAGCTCTATGCCCACCGTCCTCCCCAGCCCCTGGTGTTCTTTTGAAAAATGATCCAGTGAGGGCTCAGTACTAAGACCTGTGGCCACAGAAGTTCCCATGATTTGGGGGTCTGAACACTAGAGAAAAACCCTCTGAACGGATCCTTGAAGTGATCGTTCCTCGTTGTCAGGACTTCTGAGAGTCATGAAGGTGGTGTGCACTGTGTGCCGGGAGGTGCAGACCAGGTCACCTGCTGGCAGAGCTGAATCCAGAAATGCAAACCGCAAGCCGAGTCTCCTGATGCTCAGAGCTGGGGGGTGACAGGTGCCAGGGCCTGGCATATGCCCCTGGGTCCTCAGTGTGGCGGGCTCCTTCAGGTCTGCCCTGTGCCCACTCTTGTACATGCATCCGTGTGGGCCTTGACGGTCTGGATGATTGGGGTGGTGGGTCCTGTTAGCTGAGGCCTTGCTTTGTGTGGGCCGCACTCACAGCCCAGGTCCATTGACTCTGGTCATCCCAGTGCCCCCACTTGCCCTCCCCCACCCTCAGCTGGCTATCTGAGTCCAGCCTTAAGTGGCCCTTGTCTTCTAGATCCTCCCCAGCCTGCGGTCCAGCGGTGCAATGCTGGATGTGGTGGACAGCTGTTCGATGCTCTATCGCCTGCAGATGGAAGGTAGCGTATCCTGCCCTCCCTGGGCCCCTTGCCCCTCTCTCCCAACACAATGAGGATGATCTTGAGGCTGAGCAAGAGCTCCTTAGCCACAGGCCTTGAGGCAAGTGGCCACCTGCCACCTGCCCCCCAGGGGCCAGCTGCATGGCTGTCTTCCCGCCTGCCTGAGGTCACTGGCCACAGCCACCACTTCTGCTCTTCTTCCAGGCCCCTCCTCGCCTGAGCATGGGAGCCTCAGGCTTGCACCCAGGGTGGCAGCTGCTGTTCCCACGGCCTGTCCCTCAGGCCTGTGGGCCTGATGACACCTGGCTACCTACCTCAGTCCTCTCCTGTAGCATGGAGGGCAAGCATTTCTCAACCCTGGGATCACAAAGTGGTCTCTCAGCCCTGTTATCCCACGCTCTGCAGGTGACCTGGAGAGGGCTGGCCACGGCTCAGGGCTGTAGATGGCTTCCCGCCAACTGCCACAGAGCAGGTGGCCCCCCACTCCTCCAGACTCAGCAGGACCAAATCTGCACTGCCCGCGCTAGGCCCTGGGGCACTGGCCACGTGGGGATGGAGGCCCCAGGCAAGCACCCCAGGGACCCGAGGGAGGGCAGTGTGAACTGTTTCTGGAAGGTTCCAGGAAGGATTCCTAGCAGAGGTAAAATGTGAACCATGGAAGTTGATGGTGGCAAGAGACGGGGAAGGGTGTTACACACAGAGGGAGCAGCCAGTGGCCTGTGAGGGACAATGTGGGAGGGCAGGCTTGAGAGGTCATGGTCCCATGGGGCAAGAGGAGGGTCAGAGCAAGCAGTTTGGCTTTTATCTGGAGTGGGAGGGAGCCTGGCAGAGCAGTGCTGGGCAGGGCTTGGCTCTGCCTTCCAGAAAGACCGCGCAGCTCTGCTGGAGACCCGAGAACAGCAAGGGGGCCAGGGTCCCCGAGGAGGCCAGAGCATCTTCACAGATGCCAGGGGAGCCCCAAGGAGGCCAGGGGATCCCTGAGGAGGCCGGGGTCCCCCAGGAGGCTGCTGCCACACTTTCCAGGCTTAGCTCTGTGGTCATGCCTGTAGTCAAGGAAGTAAAAAAGCTGAAACTGGCCAAACTTGGCCTAGAACTGGGCAGCAAGGGGAGGGCCCCCTGGACCTTGAGACCCTGGCATCCTGCAGGTTCCTCTTTGGAGGAAGAGACCTTGAAAGGCACTTGGAACTCTCTGAGGAGCTTCCATCTGGGCTGCCTCCATGCGGAGAGAGGTTAGGGGAGGGCTGGGAGAGGCCAGACTCCAGCCTGAGAGGAGGTGGCCCTGCGAGGGGGCAGGCAGGGGACGAGAAAGGCCCTTGCTGTCCTTGAAGCACCAAGTGGAGACTTCAGAACCATTGTTGAGTCTGATAGGGTGAAAAAGAGATCAGGAGCCATGTTGGCGGAGAGGCCGGCGCCCGGGAGAAGGAGAACCCAGGGCTCGAGGACCAGGGGGCGGCAGAGGGGAGGTGGCGCTGCAGGTGGGGGCAGAGGCAGGCCCGTCTGGAGTTGAGGAGGACAGACGTACAGGTGGAAGGGTGTTGTTGATCCACAGATTTTTAATTGAGCGCCCACTATGTATCAGACACTGTACTTGTGTTAACAACTGAAGCATTTCAAGTGTTTTGGGGGTTTGTCAGAGGGGTCAAAGGCTGTGTTTAATAACATTTGACAATTCTTAAAATTGGCTTCACCTACACATTTAATGTCCTTACAGTTAGACAAAGTCAACCTAAAGCAGGGTCCACCGGCCTCCTCAGGTCCGCTTACCCGGCTGCTTCCCTGGAGCAGGACCGTGTGGGCTTCCTGAGGGGTGCCTGGACATGGGAGGCCAGAGTGCAGGGCACGTCCTGTTCCCAGTCTCATGCCAAGTCCTGTGTCTCTAGGGGTATCTGTGGGCCAGAGGTGGCAGGACATTCTGCCTGTGACCCAGAGGCACAGCCGGGACCACATCCTGCTGTTCAATGATGCACACTTCCTGATGGCCTCCCTGGGCGCCCGGGACCCCCAGACCACACAGGAGCTGCTGACCACCCTGCAGGATGCCAGCGAGTATGCAGAGGGGCCATGGAGCAGCATCCAGGGTGGGGCTGGCCCCTGCTGCTGCGAGGGTGGGGGAGCAGGGGCCGTGTGAAGGCCTACTCAAGGTTGCTGCTGCCCGCTAGGGAGGCTGGGGTGCAGGCCATGCAGGGAGTCGGCTCTGGGGACGCCTGCGGAGGGCCATTCTCAGGAGTGTGCCCTGCCGGCACATGATGTCTAGAGGTGCACCTGGTACCCCTGCTCACTGCTCTTTCCATCCTCGGGGTGGGTGTTCAAGCCTCAGTGTCATGAACATCCTCTTGTGGGGGACACAGGGGCCCTGTGACCAGAGACACCTGAGATCCTGGGCCAGGCGCATCTCTGCTCTGAGTCTTAGCTTCCTCATCTGCAAATTAGGGCTAGTGACGGCCCAGGGCTGATACGTTGCCTGGGAGGCACAGGTGCCACGGACATACCCTCCTGTGGTCGCCCCGACTTTCAGTGCCTTTGGGCAGTCTGAACCTCTCTGTAAGGTCGCCACTGTTATACCCACTTTCTGGGTAAGGAAACTGAGGCCAGGAGTCAGGGCACCCGTCCAGGGCCAGGTAGCTGACAACAGGCCGTGTCCAGCCCAGGCCAGAGTTCAGAGCGCTCTCCTTTCCCGTGGTTGGGCTGCTTCTGGGGCCTCACCCTGTCAGAGCACCTGCCCTGTGGCCGCGAAAGGGTCCTCCCTGAGAACACTCGTGGAGGCAGGACGTCACGCTGTGCAGGACAGCTGCTGAGAGTCTGTGTTGATGGCAGATCTCCAGGAGAAAACTGCCAGCACCTGCTGGCCCGAGATGTGGGACTGCCTCTGTGCCAGGCCCTGGTGGCAGCCGAGGAAGGGAACCCTGACCGCGTCTTGGAACTGCTCCTACCCATCCGCTACCGCATCGTACAGATAGGGGGCAGCAATGCCCAGGTGAGCTGGCTGCCCCCAGTGAAACTACTGGCCAGAGCAGGAGGGCCTGGGCCAGGGAGCCCGGGCACCTGCAGCCCACCATCTCTCCTGTGGTATCAGTGCCCTTGAGGTGGGAGTGTCCTTGTCCCTCACACTGCCTGTAAGTGTGGCATCGAGGGCTGCAGGCTGTGCTGCACGGTGGGGCTGGGGCCCATCTCTCATCCATGTTACAGGCCCCTGACTTGCTGATTACTTTGCAGAGAGATGTCTTCAACCAGTTACTGATTCACGCAGCCTTGAACTGCACCTCCAGAGCGCATAAGAACGTGGCGCGGTGAGCTCCCCACCCTTCCCTGGTGCTCACCTCATGTGGGTCTCCCTGTGCCTGGAGGGTCCTATTTCTGAGGATGGGAAGGCACCAGGCTACCTGGAATCACCTTCTGGGTCAGCCTGCTCAGTGTGCCCAGAGAACCGGCCGACACCGCCTCCCCATGTACGTCCTCCTTCCTCCTGTGTGGGTCGAGGAGGGCCGAGGGCTGAACTGGTGCAGGTGCCCAGGCAGTGCAGAGCAGCCTGGGTCTCCTGGGGCAGGGTGAGGGAGCCAGGGGAGCCACTGCATGACCTGCCCCCCGGGGGATGGTGTTCCCTCCAGGTGCCCACCAGGCACAGGCCATCCCATCGAAGGCAGGAGACCAAAGCGTAGGTCAGAGTGTGGCCCAGTGTGTGCTGGGAGCTTGGTCCCCAGTGTGGGGATGCTGACAAGCTGGTGGAGCTTTGGGGAGATAGCTAGGTCACTGGGACCTAGTGGCAGCTGGCTAGGTCACTCAGAAGAGAGAATGTACTTCTGGAAGGACTCCATTAGTTCTTTCGTAGCCTGCTGTTGTAACGCAAGGCCACCCCATGCACTTGGCCCCTTTGGCATGCAGCTGTTTTTCTTTCTGCTTCTCTGTGTTGTGACCCATCCAAGGGCATCATCACTAGAGACCAAACAGATGGAGCTTCCCAGTCTTGGACTTTCAGTCTCCAAATCTCTTAAGCTAAATAAAACCTCTCAACTAAGTACCAGCTTCTGGTATTTTGTTACAGCAACAGATAACAGATTAATACAGCCTTGGTCCCTCGCCATCGTGTCTCCACCCGAAGGACCAAGCCTCAGTGCCTTCACATCACTCATCCACCACAGAACCCTTGTTGTCAGTTGTTGAGGTCTGCCTTATTCTCTGGGGCTCCCATAAAACACAACACAACACAACACTGCAGCTTACACAATATACTTTTATTGCCTTTCAGTCCTGGAGGCTGGAATGTCTGAGATCGAGGTCCATCAGGGTCTGGGCTCTGGTGAGGCTGCTCTTCCTGGCTTGCAGCTGGCTGCCTTCTTGCTGCATCTTACTTCCTCTGAATGCCAGAGTGAATCTCTCATCCTTCTTACAGGTGCCCCAACCCCATGACAAGGGCCACTCTTATGCCCTAATCACCCCGAAGGCCCCAGCTCCTAATGCCATCATGCTGGGGCGAGGGCTTCAACATGTGGACCTGGGCTGCGGGAAGGACACTGATTTCCGTCCACAGCGGGATCTTTTTTTTTTTGAATCCTGGGGATGGAACCCCAGGGCTGCATGCATGCTAGGCAAGCACTCTGCCACGGAACTGCATCCTCACCCCTTTTCATTTTTTGAGATAGGTCCTCACTAAGTTGCTGAGGCTGCCCTTTAACTTGCCAGTCCTCCTGCCTCGGCCTCACTAGTAGCTGGGAGTACAGGCGTGGACACCATGCCCAGCTCATAGCAGGGTCTCTACCTCAAACCACACCTATACTTGCTTTCTTCACACTTGCTCCCAGCCCCCATCTGTGTTCTGTAGCTCGATGTCTTGGACAGTGCCGTGTGCTTCCTGCCCATGCCACATCTGCTGTCCCTCTGTCCCCAGCATTGGGCTGATGGATGATGATGAGCTGTGA